TAAAATTTTATCAGCGAACTTCGATCGGAAAGTTTGGCCGTATAAAAACATCCTGTCCGCAAGGGAGGGTACTAAATTAGCGATATTCAAAGGAATGGGATGTTTCAATTCCCGATCCGCAATAAGTTTGGCCATAAAAAATTCCGCCATACGAAAAAGGCTGACCGAAAAAATAGCGGACGAAAAGATATAAATTTGTGCTCGTTACATCTCTGTGATGGAATGTAGGAACTTAGACCTTCACGCTAAAAAAGTATCAAATTTTTGCAGAAAAATTCGCCTGCAATTCATCATCATCAACCCATTTATACGTCCCACCGCTGAGCACGAGTTTCTCAAACGAGGATTTAAGGTATAGTTCGCCAAGCTGGCTTAATGCGAGTTTTCTTTTATAATATCAAATGACGTGACGAAAAAGTCGTACGCCTGATAATAAGCAACACGCTTGGCCCTAACTGTTGCAGTGCCACTCAGAGCTTTAAATCGCAAAGATCTGATGTGCACTGTCACTGCGCCCGTCACCCTGAGACGTAAGTTGACCACGTGCCTGTAATTTCACCAGCACCCTTACCCTTCAAAACCGGAACGCATTACTGCTGACATTACTGCTTGGTGCCAGAAATAGTAAGGTGGCAATACTTCCCTGGACTATCTCTTTCACAAGGAGCTCTACTACTCCTGTTAGGAAGTTCATACGTAATCCTAAGATTGTGAATCTTCTTCGACGTGCCGGTCTTTTATGTTTAATTTTTGCATGTCATGTAATTTAAACTTCGTGGTCTGTTTGTCTGGTGATATGTTTACATTTATGAATGTCTCTTGACTGCGTGTAAAGTCATTAAATGTAAACTTGACTCACATTGTTGGTGGTTAAACGTTCAAACGCACAAACATACAAAACCGTCCTTGTATATTTTTTTAATGACAAACAGACCGACGCTAGGCTGTAATTTATAACCGGCGATGGTATTCGCTATACTAAACAATGACTATTCATTCTAACTTTATTTAGCCTTAAAACTAGTTATCAGGTTATTACTTTTTTTATAAAAAAAAAACCGACGTGAAAATTTTGTGGAATGGGAAGAAGATGTATATTTGCCAAGTTTTGTTTAAATCGGCTACCTGAAAGTGCATGAAACCGGATTCACCTTCTGGTTTGTCACTTTTACTGATGGAGCATTTTGAAATTTAAGTGATACCAATTCTGAGTTATCCTTCAAAAAAAAAAGAATCATCAAAATCGGTTCACAAATGCCGAAGTAATCCTGTAACATACACACAAAAAAACTACAGTAGAATTGAGAACCTTCTCCTTTTTTTGTAGTCGGTTAAAAATATAGATTCTCTATAAATAAAAAACTTGCCTAGAAAATACCTAGCTAATCTCCTCCTACAATGCTTAAGTTAATGTATAGGGGTTAGTATGAAATTGCCGTTTTATTGCAATAGGTTCTTTGAATTTTCATAGAATCTTCATGGTTTGAGGTTTTCGAATGAAACTTTTTTCAAATGGTTTCTGTGATTTTTTTTTTTGCTGTGAAACATTTGAATATCGACTTTCAATTGTTTTTGTTATTCAATTTAGACAAGAAAGATGGATACTGCGAAAATTCGAGTGATTTTTGAATACGAGTTCCGACGCGGAACTAACGCGGCAGAAACAGCCCGCAATATCAATGCTGCGTTTGGAGAGGGGTCTACTAATGAACGCACCGTGCGATTTTGGTTTAAACGCTTTCGTGATGGAAATTTCGACTTAAAGAACGAGCCACGAGGAAGACCGCCCGCACAGGTGAATAACGATGAATTAAGAGAGATAGTGGAAGCCGATCCTAGTCAAACTACCCAGGAATTAGCGGCATGGTTTAACGTTACCTTACCCACAATATTGACTCACTTGCGTCAAATCAATAAAATAAAAAAATACGAAAAATGGGTGCCTCATGATTTGACTGATCTGCAGAAAGAAACGCGTGTTGAAACTTGTGTTGCCTTGTTGAACCGGTACAGAAATGAAGGAATATTGGATCGAATTGTAACATGTGATGAAAAGTGGATTCTTTATGATAACCGGAAAAGAAAAATGCAATAGCTGACGCCAGGTCAAATGCCCCAACAGTGTCCTAAAGCAAAACTTACCAATAAAAAGGTAATGGTAACTGTTTGGTGGTCTCAGCATGGTGTTATTCACTATACTTTTCTCCGATCTGGTCAAGCAATAACGGCAGATGTCTATTGTGCCGAACTCCGAACCATGTTGACAAAACTAGCAGTAAAACAGCCCCGACTCATGAATCGATCTTCACCATTATTGCTCCACGACAACGCGAGACCTCACACAGCACGAGAAACCATTTTGACCCTTCAGGAACTGCAGTTAGAAACCATTCGTCATCCTCCGTATTCACCAGACCTTGCTCCAACGGACTACCATTTTTTTCGTGATTTGGACAATTATCTACGTGACAAGAAGTTTTCTTCCCAGGAGGCAGTACAAAATGCTTTCACACAGTTTGTGCAGTCTAGATCGTCGGAGTTCTATCGCAAAGGCATTAATAACCTTCCCATTAGATGGCAGCAATGTATAGATAATAATGGCAACTATTTTGATTAAATAAATTTGTTAAAAATTTAAAAAATAAACAATTTAGATTTTCAGTACAAATCGGCAATTTCATACTTTAACCCCTATTATTAGAGAACTGCGTCCAGATTTACGAAGAAAGACGCAGTTTCCGATCGGGAGAGGCAATCAAAATCAAGCCGCAGATCAGCCGGCAGAAAAACGCTTCTCCGAATTGGTATCAAGAGTGAGATTCCAGTCAACGTCTATATAAACTTAGTTCAGCTGTTCCATCAATAGTGTGAGAGAAGAAAGAATTGTGGACTTCCAAAAAACTTAGAACAAAAATTTCCGCACGCAAGCACGCACGCAGTAGCATAATCAAACTGACCAATCACAAGGCTTTATAATCACGTGGCAGGAAATTCAATGTTACCAATCACGTGAGATGAAATATCTGTGGCTATAATTATTTAAAATTGGATTATGATCACAATATACCAGCAGCAATGAAAAACATTTATTTCCCTCCGTGTTTACGTCCTACGTAATCGCAGGGCCTTCCGTGATGAGGCAGCAAGTCTACCGATCGATCCTCATTCCCGCATGCAAATCGCTCTCTCTATAGCTTACGGACTTTGTTATATTGATGATGTATTCGTAGTTTTACAGATTGGATATCCGGTTTATCCGGAATATGGACTTCCTTTGTACACAAACCAGAACACAAAACATGTCATAGTATTTCAGTTCTAGTTGGTACAATAAACAAAAGAATAACAAAGCTCTTGGTACCCATTGTAGAGATGTGTAACTAAAATAATTTAGTATCAGTAGAGCTCCTTGTGAAAGAATTTGTTCCGGAAAGTACCTCGACATTACTTATTTTTGAAGCCAAGCGGTGATGTGAGCATTACTATGTTCCGGTTTTTAAGGATGAGGGTGCTGGTGAAATTACAGGCACAATGGACTTGTCAACTTATGTCTCAAGATGACGAGTGCAGTTGGCGGTACCAATCAGATCTTTGTGATTTAAAGCCTCTGAGTGGCACAGCAAGTCGCTGTCACTCGGTACTATAAAAATCTTATAAAAGTTAAACCTAAAAACTCGAGAGTAAAATCTGTTAAACAGAACGAACAGAAATAGAGCGGTAAGACGTTTCAGTGTTACTACTAAATAGTTAAGGCAATAACACTTCACCGACGTGTGATTAGATTGGAGCTCGCAAGGAATCTGCCCGGAGATGGTCACCGAGCACCGAGCTCTTTAATTTTGTTGCCAATAAGTACGATAAAGCATTTTGGGATAGCTCACTTGGGCCTCCTGCAGCCGATCAGAGAACCATGCTTCAGATCCCGCTACTTTCCGGAAACAAGCACCCAGCGCAGGCAACGGCTTGCAAGAGTAAGACAACTGCTAAGACCCGACATTATCTACCAAAAGCAACTAACCCGGACACGACTTGCATCTATTAGGGCCTTTGGAAGTCACAAGCCAAAAGCTACAGCCCGGAACGACGATCTTTTGGCGTTCCCAGGGACAAAAATACGTGGATAAAAACGAAGTGTAGCGACTGAGAAATGTACCCTTACCTTTTTTGTTTGCCATAGAATTTCTCTGATTAGCAACTTAAACGTTTTGCGCTTTTTTAAGCACAACCCCTGATTTATCTATGTGCCCCAAAAGGGCTGTTATTTTTCACAGGCCACTCTGAATTCTAGCCAAAGGGTAGAAGGCAGATTTCGGCTTACTCAGACCTGAATATAAATAGGTTCATTACCAGTAATTTTTTTCAGGCCGCATTCGTCCAATTTTTAGAAATTTTCATGTACGAAAGTTTTGTACGAACTAAAAAATAAATACTTTTCTTAACATAACAAAATTCTTCGTCAGTGGACACTAAGGATTTTGGACAAAATTAAAAAAATATATAAATATGTTAGCATTTTTTTATAGCTTTTTTCATTCATTTAATTTTTGCGAATGGTTGATGAAAACACAGCTTTTTATAAGTTTTTACAATTGTTTTTTTTTTTAATCTATCACACGACCTAGAGACACACGGTATCCCTAAGGATTTGGGTACTTTAGCGTCTTTGAGTGTACACGCTGTATCTATGTTTTTTAATCACCATTAAAAAATATACTAAAAATATGAAAATTTATATAAAAAAAAAAACATTTTTTTGCCAATATCGTTAGGGACACCGTATGATTCTAAGGCAAGTGATAAATCAATGGTTGATGAAAACACAGCTGCGCATTAGATACACCGTTATTAGGACGCTACAATACCAATATCGTTAGAGACACCGAGTATGTCGCTAAAAAGTTAAAAATACCTTTAAATCCACCCAGGTAAAGTTCTTGCGTGTCATTAATTAAAATAGCATCGAGCAAACATTGTTACCGAGTAAAATAAAAGAAGCTTACCAACGACATGAATGATGGCGGAGCGAACTTGCGTGTGGAAGGACGGCGCGTCTGCCGAGACTTCGCAGCGGTACCTCCCGGCCAGAGCGCGAGTGGCGTCACGTAACACAACTTGCTGGGATGTTGATCTGTATTCCTGTAAGATAAAGGATATATTGAAGTATTTAAAAAACTATGGAACTAACACGGTACAAAAAGTCAACTGCGACACTAAATCATCGCTCTCAGAGTATCTGCGCTTAAGACCTCCAAAACAAGAACAATTTACGAAAATAAATTGGCGACCAGTGACTGAAGACTATTAAAAAAATAAATTAAAATAATTTCCACACGTAATTTTTTAAGCTACTGCTCATTCACTGTGCTGACTTACTTGAGAAGAACGAGGAAGAAACTCTAGGGGTTGCTCTTTTCAAATAAAGTTAAATGCTATGGAATACACTTAGAATCAAATTTGTGTAGAACCTAGAGCTATGTCCACTTTCCATACATCTTTATCTAACACGTAATTTTCAATTTTGTAGTGTGACTTTTTAATGAAAATTAGAATGTAAGTTTGAAACTAATTATATGCTCCGGAATCTTATTGTAAATACTTTTTTGTAGTTTATTTAAAAAAGTTTAATTAGTTATATAAAAAATCTAACTGTGTTTTAAAAGTGAATGAGCATAGAAACAATGATTAAACTGAAAAAAAAACGAAGTAGAGAAAAATGACAAAGAAAGAATTTGCGAAACTTCACCACGAAGAGAATCAACTTCAACCCTTTCTTAAACTCCAAATTTTTCTCTAAAGGAAACAAAATTCCAAACAAAAAGTATTCAACATAAAACGTCCAAAAATATTTCGCGAGGAAATTCTTTCAGCAAACGAAAACGAGTAGTGTAAACGGCTGAATGGCCACAAAACAAGTTTCAGCACTTGAGCGCTGCTCAAAGCGACGGAGTGTAATTAAAACACGACTTTAGGGATCCCCGGCTCAAGAGTTGGAAGGGAAAAAATAGGGGTTTGAATGCAGGTCACTTAGTAACAGTCCTCGGGGAGATGTAAACAATTTTTGCGGTCTCCCCATGCTGCATGCTCGGTTACGTAATTAAGTGTTTTTTACGAAACAAAATCGTAACGGAATTCAAATGTTTTGTTTATATGGATTCATTTGTTTTTACTCGGCTATGCCAACTAGAGATGTGCAACGTAGCGAAGCTGTGTGCGAGGAAAAATCTACCAATAGGATTACTTCATTTTCCTATCCTCGCTTAGCGCAGCTCCGGTGGGACAGAGTTAGCGGAGCTAAGTATTTGTACTTACAAAATAGCGAGAAATGTGTGCGAGAGATATGTGCGAGGAATGTGTGCGAGGGATGCGGGCGAGGAATATGTGCAAAATGGTGTAGGAAACTAGATCTACTGAAAGTATGACACTGACTGACACTGACATATCGCCACCGCTCACTCTACCACACCGTACCCCGCACGCGCATAGCTGAAAAGAGTTCATAACGCATTCTCGCACAGCTTTGGTGGAAAACATCACACCGTTTCACAGCGCCACTACACATCCTCGCACCGCCTCGCTACCTCGTACATTCCTGGTGGAAAGGCAGCCTTAACGTAGATGGAAGTTTAGCAGAGCATGTTTTGTATTTCTTTTTTTTTTTTTAATAATAATAATAATATAATAACGCACACACTCAACATAGCCCCGCACTAGGGAAACCCTGTGTCGCGGGTGCCATGGACACACACATAGACAACCACAAATTACACCCAAACTCACAAGAGAAATAAATGTAGGTCATACAAATATTTCGCCCGGCCCGGGAATCGAACCTGGGACCTCTGCGTGGCAGTCCGGCATGGTAACCGTTCGGCCACAGAGGCAGTTTACTTTGTCTCCTTAGAGCTATGCCACACGGATACTGCCGATGCGTCGTCACGACACTATGATTTCAACGCACCGCATGCGGTGTCGCAACGTAACGCCACATAATTACGCATCGCAGTACCCATAGCCCCTTCTCCTGCTAGATGTCTACTCCCGGTCCACGTAAGACATCCGTCGGACAATGTCAAGCTTCAATCGCATCACGCGTCTTTTAATCTGGTCGTGTATTATTTATTTCACAGCAATTCTTTCTGGTCGTGTATTACTTATTTGACAGCAATTCTTTAGTAACATGTAGTTCTAATTTATATGTAGTACTATGCATCGTTAACGTATCGAACGCATCGTTACCCCTTAGGCATCGCGTAGCATATTGCTCTGATGAAGTGAAATGAAGTTAGTTATAAACTCTCCTAAAAAGAAGCTTTATAAGTTGAATAACATGATCAAAAGTTAACTATACGAAGCGAAAGACTGGACTCCGAATTAAATATTAGATTTCCAGGTGTCCACCCGTTACAATTAAGATTTTTATATAAACGTATCTATCCTAAATAATAAACAATAAGGTAACTAAGCGCGAGTATGTGTGCGCTTGTGCCTGCGCATGCGTGCGTGAGTGAATAGTTGTGTATTTTATATGTACACATGAACGAGTGTATTTTAAAATTACATTTTCTAGGTTGTTATACACTTTTCTACAGAAATATAAGTTACATCCAGTAGTTTAGTAAGCACGTAGTAAAGGAGGTTGTGTTGGGACAGTTTGAATTGTCTCGACTGTTCACGACTCGTCTTACTACGTGCCTCTATAAATTTTTAATTTAAGTATTTATGTGAGTTTGAGTTTTATTTTTTTATTTTTTATTTAATAATGTAATAATGATGGCGCTACGACTAAAAAGTCGTTGAAAACCAAATACAAAGACACGACGCAAGCACATAGAAAAAAATCGTGAGGTCCGCTAGTTCGTTCCGTGGCTTAGTTGGTATAGAGTGCCACGGTATGCTAGAAGACGTCGGTTCGAATACGGCCGGATCGAAAGAATTTTTTCTGAGTGTTCGATCTTTGTATTAATAATTATAACAAACTAGTGGAGTAATTTCACAAAAATCATTGAATATCAATTCAATAAAAATTTAAAATACAGTGAATAGCGACATCTCTCGCCAGGACTGGTAGCTGTAAAGGTACTAACTGATTGATAAATCTTTCATAGATTTCTCATAGATGGCGCTACGACTAAAAAGTCGTTGAGAAACCAAATACAAAGACACGACGCAAGCACATATAAAAAATTCGTGAGGTTCGCTGGTTCGTTCCGTGGCTAAGTTGGTATAGCGTCTGGCACGGTATGCTAGAAGACATCGTTTCGAATCTGGTCGGATCGAAGGAATTTTTTTCTGAGTGTTCGATCTTTGTATTAATAATTATAACAAACTAGTGGAGTAATTTCACAAAAATAATTGAATATCAATTCAATAAAAAATTAAAATGTAATAATTGTTCGACAATTATTTTAAATTATAAAGACTTTGATTCTATTACGTTTTCTCTTGTTGTATAATAAATACCATTTTCTCAAACACGCTCGGAAATGATCGCTTTTCTTTTGAACAAAGAACACCCTGTAAGACGATTTTGGCCGCACTGCTAAATTTAAAAAAAATACTGCGTAACATTTATTACATTATCATTTAGACGGCGAAATATTTATAAAAATCTAATTTTAGCCGCTACGTTCAACTTTTAAATATTCATATTCCTTTTTTCACAACATCGGAGTGACTGAAGACAAATGCCATACAGCCAAGTCACCCGCTAACTTTTTCAACGCAAAGCGTATTTTATTATTCTGTTTTTAAATTGTGTACGGTTGGAAAAAAAAAAACTAAATCTTCAATGTATAAACAAGAAACTATACGTTCCAAACAAAACACTAACGACGGTGATAATATTTTCTTTTAGTCTTGAAGTTTGTCAAAGAGTATCAGTAGGTGCCGTAGTATCGTGGACAGATGCGATACCTATTGGAAATGAGCTAGACCGGCAGATAATAGGGATTGTTTATAAATAAATGGAACATTGTACGGGAACCGCACATCAGTAAAACGCAGTGTGTGTATGGAACGCCGCATCTAGCATGCTAATACATGGACAACGTTGTTATACACAATATATATATATATACCTTTTCCGTGTTTTATAGGATTTTTTTTCACATATTTTACATCATTTTCTTGCACTTATTGAAATAAGGTCTTTGGAAGCCTCGGTTTAATTCATCTCATGTCTCACACACATACATACACTCATTCATACACCGTTCGGCCACAGAAGTTTTTTAGCAGCAGTAGAGCTCCTTGTGAAAGAGTTCATCCAGGATAGTACTGCCAACTTACCTATTTCTGCCGCCAAGCAGTAATGTCACCATTACTGTGTTCCGGTTTTGAAGGATAAGAGTGCTGGTGAAATTATAGGCACATGGGATTTGTCAACTTGTATCTCAGGGTGATGGGCGCAGTGGCAGTGCCCCTCAGATCTTTGCGATGTAAAACTCTGAGTGGCACTGTAACTGTTATGGACAGGCGTGACGCTTACCACCAGACATATGACTTGTTCGTCCCGTCACTTAATATTATAAAAAAAAACAGAAGCAGTTTAAGGCAGTTCAAGTATTCGGCGGTTAGATAAATTATTCATTGAAAGAACATGTCACAATTGGACTTATTATATATAAAATGTAATTACTTAGATGTTAAAATACACTATTGTGCACTATTACTAAGTCTGAATGGGGTCCTGTATCTGAAAATCCTATATGTAATTATACACATTACATTTTTTACTAGGTACTCAAATTGCAGTTTCATGATTAAATCAATTACCAGTATTCCCTCAAAAAAATCCAGTTTTCGAGTTATAAAGAAGCAATCATCAAAGAGAAAAGGAAAATCCCCATCCATAAATGCATTAAGGTATTGGGAATTTATGCACCCCAATATTTGAGTCACGTAGACCGTAAATAAGAGACGGTGTCAGGTAAAGGTTCTTTATCTCGTAACGTTTACAAGTTCTTCGATCGTACTCTGTACAAACTTAGTGAATCAAATAGAAATTAAACTATCTTTTCGAGTTGTTAAGTATTCGCGGTTGTTACATATAAGAAATGAAACTATTGTTCCGGATTTAAATCGCATATATTTATTTTGTCAAACAAACCAACATCTCAGGCCCGTTACAGGGGTTT